GTGATTGCCACTTAAGAGCCCAATTTGTCTGTATTTCTATCACTGAATACTTTAAATTCTGATTTTGCTACCAATTAGCAAAACTCATAAAATGCAAAATAATACAGTAAGTTTATTGTTTTGGGGTGTCACAACAGTGCTCAAGACTTTCTCCTGGCTCTTTGCTCAGAGATCACTACTGGGGGGCTTGGGGGTCTGTATGGGGTGCTGGGGACCAAACCCGGATTGGCCATTTGCAAGACGAGCAGTCTATTTGCCGTACTATCACTACAACCCCTACGATGTTTTTTGTTTTGTTTCTTTTGGGGTCACACCCAGTAATGGTCAGGGGTTACTCCTGGCTCTGCACTCATAAATTACTCCTGGCAATGGCACTGAACCCAAGGCAAGGCAAACGCCCTACCCTCTGTACTATGGCTCTGGCCCCCAACACTGTGTTTGTTTTAGGGGTCACACCTGACAATGCAGTGTTTACTCCTGACTCATGCACTCAGGAATTATTCCTGGCGGTGCTCAGAAGACCATATGGGATACTGGGAATCAAACCTGGGTCCGCCGGCCGCCGCAAGGCAAATGCCCTACCTGCTGTGCTATCACTCCAGCACCCCCCACGATGTATTTTTAAGGTCCTTGGTCCATTTGCTGCATTTGGAGATATATATATATATATATGTATGTATGTATGTATTTGGCCCTTTGCTGCTTTATCGATCAAGTCCAAATATCAAAACTAGTTCAAATATCTCCAAGTTTTCCCTTGGTAGAGAAAGAAAACTACCACTGCTACTCACATATATCTTAAATGCCTAAATTTCTTTAATTTCTGAATTAGGAAATTTATCCCTAAGTTTCCTAATTAAATTCTCACCATCTAAATTAAACTTCAGGTATCTGTGGGCAAACATCAATTAGTTAAGCCAAACTCAAATTTTGGTTGAATGAACTGATTTCTCAGTACAGTCAACTAATAAAAGTTCCTCTTGAAGGTTTTATTGAATAATTACCCAATATGAGTAAATATAAAAGCATAATAGCATCAAACTGAAGAGCTAAAATATAAATTTTACATCACAGGAAAAATAGTTTTATTAGTTTTAAACAAATCTTGTAATTAAAGTTATTTCATTGCATTTAAAACATGTCCACATTGCATCTAAAACACATGCTCTGCTCCTCAGAGTTGTTTTTGTTTGGAGAGAATTTAGGGGTCATATCCTTGGTACTCAGAGGGTAACACCTAGCTATAAGCTCAGGGAGCCACATGGTGTCAGGGATGGAAAAAGAGCCAGCCGCATGTAATGCAAGTGCCTTAATCTCTCTACAATCTCTCCAGGCATAAATTTTAACTTCTAAGAAAAACTGAAAATATGCTGATAGTAAAGTAAAGGCCCTCCCATTGATCATCGATTTGCTCGAGCGGGCCCAGTAACGTCTCCATTGGAGACTTTGTTGTTACTGTGTTTGGCGTATCGAGTACGTCACGGGGAGCTTGCCAGGCTCTGCCGTGGGGGCGAGATACTCTCGGCAGCTTGTCGGGCTCTCCGAGAGGGTCGGAGGGATCGAACTCGGGTTAGCCATGTTGGCTGTGTGCAAGGCAAACGCCCTACCGCTGTGCTATCGCTATGGTGCAACTACCCGATATAATAGCTATATAAAACAGAACTTTATTGAATGGCTTCAAACTTAAAATGTCTAAATTGATAAATGTTCCAGTTTTTGATCTTGAAAAAAATAACAATTGTGCATATTAAAAGATCTAAAAAGAGGCAAGAATGATAGCTTACCATCTGAGCACGTATTGGAAGTCCAGGTTCAATCCCCAGTACTAGAGTTCCTGAGCATTGCCAGAAGAAACTCCTGAACATAGAGCCTGCAGCAGATACTGAGAACTGCAGCCAAAATACAAAAACAAAAGGCCTACAACACAAATTTAACATAACTTTCTAGTCACTGGGACAAAAAGCAACATTTTAAAATAGTGGCCTCTGCAGTGGTGCTCAGAGACATACCTAACTACCTTCAATGCCTAACAGCTTTAGGTGGCTGATTGCAGGGCGTGGACATAAACAATGATTAAACATGCCAGAAACATGTGCCACGACTGCAAACTATGTCCCCTGAGAAGAAAGTTATTTTCCAATGACTTTTGTTTTGTTTTGAGGACTGCACCTGGCAATACTCAGGGATTACTCCTGACTGCACTCAGGAATCACTTTTGGTGGTACTCCTGGGGCACATGGGATGCTGGGGATCAAACATGGGTCAGCTGCATGCAAGACGAGCACTCTTTCCACTGTACTATATCTCCAGCCCCGACATTTTTTGGCAGAGCCAGGCTCACAAACCCAAGGCTTCCTACTGAAGCATGGGCTCTCATAGCTAAGCCACATTCCTGACCCTACTTTTCAAATATATGCAAAAATATGCTTAAATGATTTTTTTAAATATATAAGAAAAGATCCCTATTTCTTATTCTCAATAGTTACAGCATCTTAGGCAAATTAAATTAGGTAAGGCTGTGACTAATACGCAAATACATAACAGGATCTCCACATATAACTGAAAACCAAAATAAATGAAAATATACAAATAAAGTACTAAACACTACAAGATGGAAACAAAGTATCCTACCTCTACTATTCCGTAGAAACAAAGTAACACCTCTACTATTCATGTCTTAAGTGATAAATATGTAGAAAAAGTAAGAAAACAGTAATATAATAGTTTCACAAGCCATTAGCTGTTACATATAATTTGGAATTTTTTCAGTAAACCAACTTGGCTAAATTTACATAAACCTTATTTTAGAAAGTTATCAATGTGTATGTACTTTTCTATGTAAACTTGACAACTCAAAATTACTTGATATAGAACACTACTGCATTCTTTTCTATTTAGCACATTAACTCTGTGGTAGCTACCTCATCATCTTTTTTATAATGATCTTAGATAATAATCTTAGAACAGCAAAAGTCAAGAAATTCCAGGTCAACCACCAATATTTCAATTTACAGTATTAGCACACAGACCATTAAAAAGAATGCGTTAAAATCTGTTTTGATATTCAAGTGTTGCTACATTTACCACAAAATAATCAAACAAATACACCAGCCACTCTTTCTTTCTACTGTTTTGGTATTTTCTGTGACCTCAATATATAGCCAATATAAATGGTATGCAATTGTTAACAGTTAAGCTGCGATCTACCCTTTTCAAAGTACTTTTTATTGGAAAGAAATTGTTTTCTTTTAATAGAATGAGATATTTATCAAAGTAATCTGCAATAAGACATGACGGGGGAAAATATCAGTTTTTGGATGTTGGTTTAAAGGCAATCTTTGTTGACCTATTTCAGAATGTAAAGGAACAGAGTATAAGGAATTTCTCTTGTGATCAAAAATCTTACTATGACTTTAATCAACTTTAAGTTGTACCAAGTACAATACCTTTTCTGGAGGGAAATTTTTTGGGGGGGTGAGGGGAGAGCCACAACTGGCAATGCAAAGGGATCAGTAGCACCACTAGGTGCTAAAGGACCTAGTGGGTGGGACTTAGGGGACGGGACCTTCTGCAAGAGCCCCTCTAAGAGCCCTACCCACTAGACTATTTTCTCCAGCCCCTGAGTAAAAATCTGTAATTATCTAGGTGCAATTCTGTCCAAATAAACTAATACCCACTTTCAATCACAATAAACAGGCACAAAAAATTTATCATAAAATGCAAATTCCCGAATGTGAAAATCGTGCACACTTAAAAAGTAAAGCTTATGCATCCAAATCTTGAGGGAAATAAATACAAAATCCTCAAGTATCCTTAGTCCTTTAAGCGTTTATAAAAACAAAATTTCATAAGCCAGACTCAAAAGTTGAGTTGAAGCACCAGTCCAAGAAAAGTTCTTGAGTACCACCAAGCATAGCCCAAAAGTCAAGTTATTCATTATGATGTAACACTATAAACACTAATCATTTAAAAGTTTTCAAGATTTAAAGTCCTATGGACCTTTAAAAGCACTTTCAACTATTTACTATTAAAGCTATATTTAATATATAGATAATACAAGTTCTTCACACTAAGGAAACAAAAGGAGGCTTTTTATTTTGCTATTTTTTGAAATTAGAATGAAGCACAGCACAAAAATTGTACGTAATACTGACTAGATTCTGCATTATCTCCTCTGAAATCATAAGTCTGAAATAATGTCCAAATAGTTCCTATAGGTCAAACGAAACAAAGCATACAACTAATTGCCAGAAAGTTCCACATGCCAAAAACACCTAGGTAAAAGCTGACAAGGGAAATTCAGTCATCTAAATATCACTATGCTTTTGCTCCACTAAATCAATCCAGATTACAAATTTGTAAGGCATATACATGACAAGTGTTAACATACCATGAACAGAACACTAAACTGATTCTCTAATTTGTTTCAATTGACCCACAAGAAATAGATCTTCCCATAAAACTTAAAGGCAGAGTACTAAGTATAAACACAGTATCTTCTGTATCCTAGAGGTCTAAACATTGAAACAAACAACAAATAAAAAAGCTTATGTAGTGTTTCACTATGTGAAAAATAAAACAAATGTAAGGAAAAGAATATAATCACTGAAACTAAGAAATTCTTCAAGTTATTCAAAGTGCAAAAACATCAATATCATTTGTGGTAGTAGTACTTGTACCAAACCTCAGCTATCACATATGAAAAGTGACTGAGCATGTTATTTAGTGTAGCACTGCGGACCTTTGTTCACACCTCTTAAAAGCAGATCACTGGCAATTAGAAAAAGAAAAATGTGTTAAGAATTACATAAATATTAAACAGTGACAAAAACTGAGAGAAAATGAATATGTAACTTCCAAATCCTAACGTATCTCCCCCTCTCCATCATACAACTTTGGGCTTCCAATTGCAAAATCAAGTATTTATATTAAATAAAACAATTCTAGAAAAGGTACTCTGAACCCACCCACCAGGTTATACATACTCTCACTCAATAATGTAAAGAATTGAATTCTTTATTTCGATATCCATAAACGTTGCTATTCTATATTTCTATCCAGGAAGGCAATTTTCTCCTATTTTTTTAATAAACAACAACTTGAATTCTATTGCATGAAAGGGCTACAAATATACATTTGTTAACCAAGCAGAATACAGATATTTTGCTTTACAACTTGCACCTAAGATACCAGAACACGTAGCTGGTTCAAGAGTTGTCATGGCAATTTGGGGTCATTGCCCAAGCTATGCATATAGCAGTTTACATTTTCAAATCTTATGTAGAAAGGGCAATTGTGATATATGTTAACTACATTCCTGAAAAGCCCTTCTGAGTTACAAGTAAATATGTAACCAAAATCTGCACATATTTCTCATGGCAAAACTTCTACATCTGATGCAATTGTCCTAAACAAGTGTTTTAACAAATTCATCTGCAGATATTCTGCCAGTAGATGGTGCTACAAAGGTTGGGGAAGGATTTCCATGAGGACAACAGTTCAGCTTTAGGAAAAAAAGGTTTTAAACCTGCTCTGAAAATACAAAAATGCATTGAGTTTGAGGGTAAAAGAGAACCCTTACTTTTAACCATTCATTACAGAGACCAGTAAGAGGATGAAACTAGGCAATCTGAAAATTTTTAAACAGTTCATATGAATGAAACACATGCTTAACACAAACTATTTCTTTAGAACTACACAGTACATACTTTGAAGTAAATTCTCAATAGAAATGTGACTAATCATGTCAAGATGATAAGCAAATTGCTTAGTACAAGAGATGGATGCACAAAAAACTTTAAAAAGCCACATCCACTTCAAAAGTTTTGCCAGTAAAGGCTAAATTTCAACATGTCACTAGCAGGGTAACGAAAAAAAAAAAAAAACAAAACACAACCCACAGGACCCTTTAAAAGTTTCTAAGTACACATCAAGAATTTTGAGTTAACACGAAAATTTTAACTAATATCCCTTAAAACGGTACGAAATGGATCCTAGAAAAAAAAATGTTAGACATGTACGGTCAAACACAATGATTTATTAAAAAATAAAACGTAAAAATGATTTTTGTACATATGCTTTCAAATTTCAGGCATGGGATCCAAGTAGATTTCATAGAAAATGCTGTAGCCAGGTATCAAGTCCTTACAACAAAATGAACTACCCCCCCCACCCAAAACCCCACCCAGGTTTTGCTACAGAATCAGCAAGTTCACTCCCTCCCCCCCAAAAAAAACACAAAAGTAAAACAAGACATTTTGCTAGTATAAAAACGACCAAGGTCCAAGTAATAATAAAAAAATAGAGTCCATCAATGACTGTAACACAAAAATGTGTATGTGGGGCCAAGTCCATCTTCAGAGGGAGATGAGAGGGGTGGCAGGCAAATAGGGCAACACCCCCAAGGACGAGCAGCCTTCAAAGCGGCTCCCCCCAGGGCAAATGGAGGGTGGGGAGGCAGGCGGTGGGAAGGGACGGGCCTTAGGAGTGGCCCCGAGCTGGGCTGCTGAAAAGCGCTACCCGAGAGCCACTCCCAGGCCTGGCGAGCTCTTTCTCAGAAAGAGCTGCCCCCGTAGCCGCCGCCGCCATAGCCGCCTCTGTAAGGTCCACTGTTACTGCGGCCGCCCCAGCTGCTGCCGCCGCCGCCGCCGCTCTTCATGGGCCCGTACGAGGACTGGTGCTGGCTGTAGCTGCCGAAGCCGCCGAAGCCGTTCCCGTAGTCGCTGCCGCCGTACGAGGAGCCGCCGCCGCCCCCGTAGGCATTGTAGCCGCCGCCGCCGCCGTAGCCCCCGTAGCTGTTGTAACCGCCGCCGCCCTTGGACAGGCCGTTCTGATCGCGCCCCCCGCCGCGGCCGCGGCCGCCCCTGCCGCCCCGCGAGGCCCGCGAGCCGCCGCCGCCGCCGCCGGAGTGGATATCCTCCTTGGGCACGGCCTTCTTCACCTCCACGCGGTGGCCCTGGATCGGGTGGAACTTGACCACGGCGGCCTTGTCGGCCGCGTCGTGGTTCTGGAAATACACGAAGCCGAAGCCCCGCTTCTTGCCCGACTGCTTGTCGGCGATGATCTCCGCCTTCTCCACGGCGCCGAACTGCGAGAAGTGCTCGATCAGGTCGCCCTCAGCCACGTCTCCCTTCAGGCCCCCGACAAAGAGCTTCTTCACCTTAGCGTGGGCACCGGGCCGCGCGGAATCCTCCCGGGACACCGCCCGCTTCAGCTCCACCGTGTTGCCGTCCACAGCGTGGGGCGAGGCGGCCATGGCGGCGTCGGCCTCCTCCACATTGGAATAGGTCACGAAGCCGAAGCAACGGGAGCGCTTGGTCTGGGGGTTCACCACCACCACGCAGTCCGTCAGGGTCCCAAAGGCCTCAAAGTGGCCGCGCAGGCCCGACTCACTCGTCTGCACGTTGAGGCCGCCGATGAACAGCTTACACAACTGGGAATTCTCCATCTCCACAGCCCGGGCCTTCCCCCCGCCCTGCGAGCTCCGAGGTTTCGCCGTCGCCGTTATCGTTGACTGCGGCCTCTACACAGCTTGGGCCCAGCCGCTGCTGGCGCCGCCACCGTCGGTCACCGACGGGAAGGGAAGAAGGGAAGGGGAGGGAAGGAGGTGAAAGGAAGGGGGAGGGAAGGGGAGAAGTGCCGGCTAGAGGGCGAGCCGAGGAGACTGGAACACTACCAAAGCCGTCGCCACCTCCGCTCCCCTATCTGGGCACCACACAAAGAGGCCGCTGAACGCGCGCGCACCCTCCCCGAGGCGTGCGTCACCGCCGACGTACGGCAGCTCGGGGCTGCCAGCCAATCGCCGCCTCGTTCTTCGGAGACCCGCCCACGGCGCCGCAGCGCCACTCTCGGTCACGGACTCCCCGCCCTCCGCGGTCTATTCAAGCCTAGGGCCTGCGCTGCGCGCGCCGCCGCCTCTGCCTCCCCGCTTTCACTCCAGGGCTACCAAGTGTGCCCTGACGAGGGGCAGTCCTGCCCACGGCCCACCCCGACGACTCATTTCCTTCCTGCTTCGCGGCTGTTCCCAGTGGCTTGCCCCCTCCCCTTTCCAGATCCCCTCGCCCAACTCCGCAGTGGCGTTCGCGCCAGCCCCTTGAGAGACGTGTCGGTCCAGCCAATCACCACGAAGCGCCCGCACCCACTTCCGTTTTCGGCAGCCTCTGGACGGGCGCGCTCTCCGGTGCGCGCTGGCTTGGGCGACCCCAAAGTGCGGAGCTTGGCGGTCACCCGCTGTGCCCCCTCCCGCCCTGTGCTTGGTGGGCAGGGCGGGTGTTACTGGGGGCGCGTTGGGGGCCGTTCCCAACGGATGCGGCCTGGGGCGCCACGCGCGGGCTTTTTGAAAACTTGACTGTTGGGTTTGGGGGGCCTGGATCTACCCGCCGCGTCTCAACGTAGCCGCTATACCTGGCGCCCCCGCCCCACTCGTCCCCACAAAGATGGAGGTAGAGGCCTGTCGCGAAAGGCCGTTATAAACCGTTTACTGCAAGCCGATGCGCGATTCAACTAAAACACCGACACGTGACCCTGCACTAAAGCGAGTCCGCGGCGGGGTGGACAGCGGCATGTCAAATGTATGCCAGGCTTTCTCAAGGCGTGGCACGAGACCCTGCCACCTGCCGCTATCCGAGAGGGCCCCCAGGGTTCACGCTCGGGGGCTCACGCACTCGACTGCAGACGTTTTCGTTTTACCTCACTGAACTATCGATGTGTTGACATTATCCTTGCTTCGGTCCCTACTAAAACTACCGTATCACGGCATAGGGCATTGCCTACTCATACTACGGACCCCCAAGTGCCTTAGGGTGGGATTCACACAACAGAGCATGTGCGTCATGCTACCCAAAGCGGACCCACCACCTTGCCTCATGCAGTTTACAGTCTATTAGGGCAGACCAAGACTATATAATGGCGGGTGGTGAGATTATACCTTTTGAGGGGGAAAAATGAGAGGGTCAGAGAAATTGCTCACCTGGCATTCGGAGGCCCCAGGATGGATCCCAAACATTGTGTAAGGGTTGACCAAGAAACCTCTGGGTGTAGAAGTGTTGTTTCACTGTCCCCTTGGACCAGGACCAGGGCCTCACCTGAGCAACTGAACCACCTGACTTCCCTGAGGGAAAATCACACACAGTGACACACAGTGGCAGTGACCCCCAGGCTCCTAGGAGCCTCTGTCCAAAAATTCTTAAAGACAATAAAAAGCTATTTCCTCTCACATTCTCATTCTCTCTCTCTCTCTCTCTCTCTCTCTCTCTCTCTCTCTCTCAATAAAAATGTGTCTAGTTGCTAAATGAAGATAAGAGGGAGGAAAATAAAACTGAAATATTAGAAATCTGGAAACCTAAAAGTGAAGCATGATGGAAGGAAGGAAGGGAGAGAGGAAAGGAGAGGGAGGGAGGAAACAAGGGAGGATTAGTGGGTGGTAGGCTATGATAAATGAAAATTCCATATTTAAATGATAATGAGAATATAAATGGGGCATGTTTTCTGGGATGCATTCAACATTAGGTCAGATGAGATAATTCATTTTAAATATGCATTTATATTTTAATCTAAATTAAATGCTAAAAGTCATACAAGATAAATCTGATGGAAGCTGGATCTCAGCCCTTCAAACCTTGTATCTCCCTGCCTCCTAAATTGAACTAATCTTCTACACCACCTAATTAGGGATCCATTAATTAAACTGGGGGTTAATTTCCACTGACCAGGAAAGCTTAACAGAAACAATGTCTGGATCACATGGAGAAGGTCTTTGGGGTAAAGGGAAAAGATACTTAAGAAGCCAGGATAAATGAAAAATAATTGGAATGCTACATTCTTTTAGGAGATTAGACTGGTAAAGATTGTAGCAGTGAATAAAGACTGTCACATAAACACCTAGGGAACTAAATTGATTTCCTATCAGATAAATCTTTCAGGGAGAAACATTTTTTCTACTTACCTTTTTAGATCATTGCCTGATTTTCTTTCTTGGTTTTAATATAATAAAATACTAGAAATTTGATAAAGTGATAGAACAGAGATTAGAAAGAAGATTGGCCCAAGATGTGACTAAGAAAATCCTCTGGAACATCCTGCTCATGCACAACCCCTTTTTCTTACTACCAAGTATACTTTAAGCCCAGTGCAAGTGCTCATCCATTCCTACTCTAGAAAATAATAAAAGAGACGGTTTTTCGCCTCTGCAAGGCAGCCTACTAAGGATATCTAGTGCCTCAGCTTCCTTACTCTTCCCTCAAATAGTTTCTACTGAAATTGGTCATGTCATCTCCAGTACTCTGCTTTTAATCTTGACTGCTTTAAGACAAGTGCTGAGTGTTGCGTCTCAAGAGGACATGAGGCCTGGGATAATGTGGTGCACTCAGGAAGGGACAGAGGAACTACATGTCTAGCATGCAGTGTCCTTATTCCAAATCATCAGTGTTTAATACTTTCCATGATCAGAAAAACATTTTCCTACTGATAATAAAGGCAATTATTCTATTACAATAAATCACATAACATATTTTCTCCATCAGTCATGTACACTTATTAACTTGTTAACTACCATAATGCCTCAAGGTGCCAACATAAAGATGCAAGACCAGGGGCCATTCCCAGATCAGGAGGCATTCCTTGTGCTTCCGCAGTCAATTCCCAGACCTGAATTCAGCCCATATTCACAATCTCACGGGGCTCATATAGTCTTTCAACACCCGAGCATGCTTATAACAATTCTACTTGACATAGATGTCCTGGCTTTCCAAAATAGCACTGTAGCACTGTCCTTCCATTGTTCATCGAACGTCTCCATTGTGAGACTTGTTACTGTTTTTGGCATATTGAATACACCATGGGGAGCTTGCCAGGCTCTGCCATGCGGGCGGAATACTCTGGGTAGCTTACCAAGCTCTCTGAGAGAGACAGAGGAATCGAACTCAGGTCAGCTGCATGCAAAGCAAACGCCCTACCCGCTGTGCTATCACTCCAGCCCTAATAAAAAATTTAAAACAAAAATAAAATAAAAGTATTTTTAAATATAGCTGAGAGACAGGGAGATAGCTCAACAGGCTGACTACATGCACTACAAACAAGAGGTCCAGATTCTATACTGCACACCACATGGTTCTCTGTACCTGGCCAGGTACTGCTGGGTGTGGCTCATACACCAAAATATAGCTGAATTTTACACAACCTTATTTCTACCCCCCTCTGCCAAACTTGATTATAAAAACTAGTATTTGGTAGTTACACAACTCAAACCAAAACACTATAGAGCCAGAGACAGTACAGTGGTTAAGGCACATATGTTACAGGAGGTCAACCTCGATTTGATATAGTATATGGATCATCAAGCACCAATACATACAGCCTTGCACACAAACCCCTATCCCCACAGTCAGTACCTCTTGGGTTAGTCCAGGTAATTCCTGGCACTGAAGGAAACCAGTAGCAATGCATGTCAGGGTCCAAGCCTGAACAGTCAGTCATGCCAGCTGCCCAAGAATATCTGGGAGGCTCTCCCCACACCATGTCTCCTGAACACTTCTTTTTTTTTTCCTTTGAGGTCAGGGGTTGAGGCCACCCTCATTGGTGCTCAGAGCTTACACCTGACTCAGAAATCAGTGATGCTCAGAAATCAATCCTAGCAAAGCTTAGGGGATCCTATGCAGTACTAGGATCAAACCTGGACCAGCCACATGCAAGGTAAGTGCCTTAACCCTTGCACTATCTCTCTGGTCCCCTAAGCACTGCTTGAGAGACCCAAAACACACACACACACACACACACACACACACACACAGTGATACTGAGGGAGACACTACTGGCAGTGCTTGGGAGACTATGCAATGATGCTAGGGATCCAACTAGGGTTCCTAATACAAAGCATGCTTTCCAACTCTTTCTCTCATCTCACTGGCCCCAAGGCCATGTGTTTTTGTATCTAAGTTATACTAAAAAAATAAAGAACATGAGAAAGAAAGAAAAAAAATGAACTCAGAGGAAACTATGTTCAGCTATATTTCCATTAAAAGGAAACTAATATTTTTTTCTAGTCAATTTATTGTTGCATCTGAATGTCTTTCTAGTTAGGGTTTAGTTATGGAGTGAACTGAAGACCAGGCAAACTTACCTCAATTTTCCCTCACACACAAACACACATGAAGTTTTAAAGCCTAGTACTTATAGACAAGGTGACTGAAGAGGTGGTTAAGTGAAAATGAGAGTTATGGTAAGGTCCTATTCAATAAAACTGATGTCATTTTAAGAAGAGGAAGAAACACCTGGTGCTCACGTTCATGTGTGAAGGAAAGTCTGCTAGAGGGTAACCAACTGCAAGTCATGTGAAGAAGGCAGTCAAGGAGGGTTCATATGGCAATGAATTTCAGAAAACAAAAATGTGGGCCAGGATGTAACTCAGTGGTAGAGCATTTGCCTGGAATGTGCTATGCCTTGGATTCAATCACCTGCAACACACACACACACACACACACACACACACACACACACACACACACACACAGATTAGATATAAAAATGAGTTATCCTGCCCCTCCCAGGCCTAGTCTCAAGACACTGGCCAGATTTAAGATTAATTCAAGGCTCCAACTTAAGAATGACCCTGTGGTCCAGAGAGATAGTACATAGAGTAGGGTGCTTGCCTTGCACAAGGCCAACCAACACAGTTTCTTTCCCAGGAACCAGATATGGCTCCCTGTAGGATAACACTGTTCTGTCCTTCCTGCATAACCTCAGGAATAGTTGATAGTTTATTGGACTGAGGAAAAGAGAAAAACACCTTAAGAGGTATCTTGCCCTTGAGCAGTC